ATATTTTTACTATTGGTTCACGCTAGGGATCATTACTTTTGACCACCCTAAAAATAGGGGTATCCATTTAGAGTTGAGAGAAATTCACGGGATTGGAATTTTGGGGAAAATTTTTTCCTTGGAAAGTATCTTAACATTGTGAATTTTGATTATGAAAAAGAAGGTAAATCATTTACCCTTTCCATTTCAAAATAATCACTTTTTAAAAATTTTCATACCCAGGGATCATTACTTTTGCACCCGAGTGTACATATTCATCATTAATTAATACATAGGGTCTTACAAAATATGCACGCACCGAAAAACTAATAATTCATATTCACTATCATATTTTATTCAATAATCATTATTTAATATCATCGTTCAATCAGTTCAGTTTCGGTCCCATGCGTGGCGCCGCTAGGATGAGCGACGCGATTTTTGTTTCCCTCTACCTTAAAAAATAAAAACATCAACAACAGGGGCAGAAGCCAACAGACAAGACCCGATGACAGAAGACCCACAGATGCCCATATGTTTACATTGTTTGTTTTTGTATCGTAACTTTGTCCAATCTTGTTCTTCTAAGCTTTTAGTAAAAATATTTCCTTGTGGGTCTTTTGTCTGTGGGTCTTCTGTCTGTAGGTCTTTTGTCACTACGCCACAAAGTTGTGTCTGCTGCGCAAATGTCATAGAACTTCCCAGAAAACTTTCTAGGTTTAGTATGTTTTGTTGAGATTTTAAATAGCGGGAACAGTGTGAGTGAATTACTTACATCCATTAGAATATTATTTTATCAATTTTCTTCAATTCTATTTATTAATTCTTTTCGTAATAAATATTGAAAAATTGCATATAAACTAATTAGCTCTATCATTTTAAAGTTTTATTGTTTTGGATGTTTTATCTCTTATAATACCTCCAATATTAGGTATAGGGTGTTGTCCGTAATTTCAATGATTTAACGATTTCGTTATATTTTTTTATTTTAACAAGCTTTTCAGTTACATATTAATTGAACAAAAATATTTATTTTCTTTTTAAAACTTTAAATATTTAAAGATGAGCCACAATCAGAATCTTCAACAAATTCCAGATTATGTCGTGAGTTTTACAAAAAAATATTTACTAATTTCGATTAAAAAATCTGATCATAAATTTGTTAATTTTTTATCGTTTAAAATATTAAAAATAAACCCAAAACCGAATTGAAAAAATTATTAATTTAATTTGTTTTTTTCATTTATAGTCTCGTGAAGACTATGAAATGGTGCTTACTAAATGTGGAGTTTTACGGAACAAGAAGAATGTTGTAAACTTTGCATACCATAAAGCTTCCTCTGACTGCGAGAAATTGCTGGGTATATTAATAATTTTTAATAATAAATAATTTAACAATTTTAAGCTGTCAGAGAAGCGAATCAATCGACATCTCGTCCTAACGTTAAAAAACCAAAGTTGGAGAAACCAAAATTGGGAGACATTTTAACAACATTACCAGAAACAAAAATGTGTCCGTTATGTGTTGGGACTAAAGTGAACAATGATTTTGCGGCGCATTGCAACAGTGTTCACCCAGATTTTGTCAAGAAAAATGTTTTTGCTGCACCCACAGGCGAAGTTAGTTTTTATAAAATATTTTTAATTTTTCGAGTTCTTTTTGGATGCTCCCCTTCCCCTCTGTTTCAGAGGTAGCCTGGTTTTTGTGTTAATCATCTTAATTATTTTCCTAAGTAATTCGATCTCAAGTTTGGCCTGAAAATAATATTATTTCGTTATCATATGCAATGTGCTGTTTTATATTCATATATAGTTTAAGAATTTTTAATCTAATTTTTTAGGTCAATCGTTTTATTTATCGAATATTAAAAAGCGTGGGGCTATCAGAAGATTCCAGTGGTCTTATGGCTGATGCGATAGATTATTCTGATAAATTTGGATGTACAAAGTAATCTGCTTTTTTTTCTATTTTATTAAAAGTAATGTTTCTAGATTTGGATTAGAGAGTCTTATGTCTACTGTCATTCAAATAGCATCCGAGGATATGGACGAACTTGGTATAATTTTTGTTCATAAGATCTTTGGGACATTTAAACTTAAGGTGATCCAAAAATGGAGCGGCAAGGATTAACGCTTTTTGTTGACGGGTCGAAGTATCTTGGTCCTGTTGTTGGACTTTTCTCCATGAAAAAAGCTGCCGAGTTTGCTCAACAATATGGTATGGGGATAGTAATTGTTAATAACACTGACAATCTTGGCTTTGAAAGATTTTATGTTAATAGGATGCTTGTACAATATGGCGTGATTGTAAGAATTTATTTTAATTATCGTATAAGATGAAAACACTTATTTTAACCGATACAATTAATTTATGTCAAATTTGAGATAACTGCTTAAAATTAGTTTTGTCACGATTCAAAAAATCAAGGACGAGTTGTCCTTTGTAGTTTAGTCAAAATATTTGTTTTCTTCCTCCTATTATTTTTCTTTATGTATTCGTTTTAAAATAAATTTAAAGGGTATCGTCTTCTCCGAAAACTCGATGTATTTCAGTACTAATGAACTTGCTGATGTTTTTTATCTTCCTAAAGGGAGCATTGAAGAAATTAAAGGGATTCTATCCATGTTTGACTTGAATAACGAGGAGTTATTTGAAGGGAAAACGGTTTGTCTCTTCATTTTTTCTTTTATTAAAATATGAGTAAAGTAGTTTTATAAAAGAAAGGCGCCTCCGATAGCATTAATTGGGCTTAGCAGATATTAAATAATTTCTGAAGGACGATTAAAATGTTGCCATTCAAAAAGTTGTAAACATTATTTTTTAGAGCGTCATTATTGGAGTTAAACGTGAATACGATGTTTATCAACAGTTGGTGGCTAAGGAGAATCTCTTGGATAAATTTGTAAGATTATCTCTAAATAATTCTCGTTTTGTAAATTTTAATTTTGAAATGGGGAGGGGATGCTTATTCAAAAATTCTAATTTCTAGTCATTTGATTATTGGAAAATGAAAACTGGGCTAAATTAAAACCTCAAAATTTCGGTCTTTTAACTGTTAGATGGGTGTATATCTATATTTTTGTTAATTCTATGAAAAGATTAATATTTTAATATACTAATATTTAGCGAAAGCTTCAACATATAGAATTAGAATATGAAAAAAGACACAACAAATATGGTGCCGTTTATTTCAAGGAATTATACGAAGACATGGTAATATTATATTAAAAAAATATTTTTTTATATTTTTGGAAATGAAAAAAAATTTCCAAAAGGAAATTATTGAACTAAAGTGAATATTATTTTTCAGAAAAAATTGGCGGTTTGTTGCAAGATTCCAGTGTTTGATGTTCGTGTACATCTTTAAAAAAGTTGTAACATTAAAAAGTTGTTTGATTTAATCTCTTTAAATACAATATTTTAAAATATGAGACTATAAGATTTCTTGTATTCTTTTATTTAATTTATTACCTACCTGTCTTTTATTTGATTTTAAACAATATTTTGATTTTGGGAGATAAATTTTTTAAAATAATAACTTTCAAAGCATTATTTGGGATAAATACAAAAATCAGAATCTTAATCCATCTTTTAGATGAATTTTTAAAGATTTATTGAGTTTGATAAAAATACCTATATAAAATCTGGAATGTTGGTTGGCAAAAATTATTTTGTAAACTTATTTTTTCAAACTTTTTGCCCATATAAGTAATTGAAATTTGTAAAGTATTTACAACTTAAATGTTTAAATGCTAGTTAATTTTACAATTTGGTACTTTTTGTTTGTACACACTGGCCAGACTTGCTCAATTTCTATTTCCTTATTACATTCAAAAAGATAATGGAAATATTAATTTTTTAGTTTCTTAATAAAAATAAATTTATTGGGGGGGGGGGGGGGAGTTCAAAAGATTTTCAATATTCGAAATTTTTTATCAGAATTTAATTCAAATAGAAATTATGAAAGACCAAAAATTTTTAATTCAGAACTGGCACTATTGCAACCCGTAAATACAAATAAATGTTTTCTTTCTGACGTCATTTAAGTGAAACAAAATGCTAAAAATAAATAGAATAAATAATTAAAAATTAATTTACTATTTACCTATAAATTATTAGAAGAAGAACGTCCTAAAGTTATTTTATGCACTAGAGCAATTTCATTAATTATTAAATTGCTTGAATTTCTAGTTTCTGAGATATTTGAGCAACTTCTATTTTTAATTATATCTTCTTTCTGATAAAAAATAAAAAAATTATTTTTAAATAATCAAAATTCTAAATTAGTTTTTTAGCAAATTTCCACATTTGAATTATATTTTTCCACTAAAATGGGTAGTAATTGTTTTACATTTCCCCAGCTCAACTTTGTTTCTTACAGTAAATAGAGCAAAAAAAGAAAAACCACTTTTGGGTTAAATATTCTCATTGTAAAAAAGAATTATTTAATATATTTATTTTGTAAGCACCCAAATATAAATACTTTCAAAAACCAACATATATTTCATCAAATCCTTTCCTTTCAAATTCCAAAGATTTTTCCAATATTTTATTTTTGAAGTTTCTTTTATGATTTCCTTCAGAATCGCTATCCAAACGAGTACTAGATTTACTTGATTCACCTCCACTGCTTCCTAAACCAGCATCAGAAGAAGCAGAACCAGCAGAGAAATTACTTAAATTTAGAATCAGAAAAGTACCTATATTTAAAATTTTGTCAAGACCTATTAGATTTAGAAGATCGCCTCGATTCTCTCCATTTTTGAGACAAAATATTTTCATTATTCTCTTTTACAACATCCAATTTTGTATTTATTGTGAATATAGAATTTCCACTAATGCTATTTTTGTTTATTTTATTTTTTTGTTTTGGCAATGGAAGTGCAGTTAATACGGCTGGAAGAAGAACAAGACCATGAAACATTCCCAATGAAACGACAACAATAATTGTCTTTTGAAAAGAATAAATTTTAATTTGTAAAAATAGGTTAGAGATTTGAAATTAATATGAAATTTTTTATTACACAAAACTTACCTTAAGAAAAACCATAGCCAAATATGACTGTTTAAAAAGGAGAGGGAGAAGGGCAACGATTGTAGAGACACCAACCTTTAAGTAAATTATAAGAATACAAATTTATGATAAATATTCTTGTATATTTTACCTGCACCATTGGATAACCAATGACTGTCAAAGCTTGTTGCATTCTCAATCGGGGATTCTAAAATTTCATAAAAATGATTTGAGTTTTAATTTATTATAAAACCCCCTCTGGTGCTTTATAGTAATGGTAGCTAATATGTGCTGTGAAATCGACACTGATACCTATTGCCTGAATTTTATTAAAAATATTTCTTTTATGATTTTTAGTCGTTAATTACCATTAAAAGTGAGGCCATAGATATTGGATCCAAATCTATATTCCACATTGATAAAATTCCAAAAATACCCCAACTAATGGAAAACACAGAAAATACCGCAGCAATTACACTAATTAATTATTTTTTTAAAATAAATTTTAAAATTATTTTTAAACCTTAAAAAATAAGGTATAAATAACATGCAAACAATACAAGTACAAAATAAGGCAGCTGCCACACTTCCCAAAACTGTTTGATCTATTGAAATTGTCTTCAAAATAAATGATGTTATTCAAGTAAAAATAAAATATTTTTGACCTGATCAACAAAAGGAGTGTGATCACTATAAGCATAAACTTGCATATCAGAATAATGGGCAGCTATTCTTCTCCATTCATTAACCTTTATCAATTTAATTTAATTAAAAACACAAATAAATTCACCGTAGGCACTAATTCATGATATTTAATAACTCGATGAAAATTAGTAACAAAAAAGAAAGAATTAATACATTCGGGCCTATTCAAACGGCAAGCACTTTCATTATAATGAACAAAGGAACTTAAATAAAAATATGCTGCAGATTTAAAAAATGCTGGAATTTCTGTATAAGTGAAACGGGGAGAAGAAAATTCATCTGATGGGTCAATCTTTTTAAAAAAATAATTTTTTAAGTCCAAAATTGTTAAGTATGTCACCTCATGATCGTCAAAATTATCATTTCCATTGCTGTAAAATCGAAGAAAGTCTTCATATTGTTGAAGCCAGAAAAATGTAGATTCTTGTCCATAACTATTTAATGCATGTTCAAAATCCCAAACAAGTTGTCTAATTCCTTCAAAAAAATTTTTCTTCCAAAAATATATTTAAATTTATATGTAAGGCAATTTGAGCCCCTTCAGAGGATTCCTAATTTCCTAGAGCCTGTCAACTTTTTCGATTATTACTTAAACACGTGTCTGAAATTCTTTTACACGGTGAGGCAAAGTTTATTTGTCTCAACAAAGTCCAATTATTTATCCCAATTTTTTCAAAATTTAACTAGATAATTGTTGTAAATCCCTCATATCCCCAGGATGCAAAACAAAAACACTAATTGGCTGCATATTTCTCAAAGCCATTTCAAATTGCATTTGAAAATCGTGTAGATAAGAGTTTGGTAAGGCCATTTTGTCTATTGAAATATTTGATTGAAGTTTTCGAATACCAAACCAGCAAAGGAAAAAATAACAGCACATAAATAATGCAAGAAGGATTCTTTTAAAGAAAAAAAGTAAATAAAAATGAGGATGTTTAATTTTAAAAATTAAAGTTTCCAAGTTTGTAATTAAAAGTTATTCAACAAATAATTGCTTTAATAATTAAGAACAAAAATTTTACTCTTATTTTTAAAATGTATTAAACTCGATTAATTAAAATATTCACACCTTGTTACCCACTGTGTAACAGCCCACGCCCAAAATTTAATAACATCATTATGAATTTTGATTGTTATAGATGCGGCAATTGAATAAAACTTTAAAGAATTAAATAATTAGTGAAAAAAAATAAATTTAAAAAATATATTCCAAAATAAAAATTTAAGTAAATAATTAATTTGTTCCCCCAAATAACGACAACCCTATTATTTGTAGGGTTGTCGGTTCTGGACCGAATCGAACCGAAGAACCGATAATTTTTCGGTTCGGTTCGGTTTCGGATACCCGAAGAATTTCCAGGAACCAATAACCCTAATTATTTGGTCATTCAACTAAATTATTAATTTATTAATATTCTTACATTATGAGATTGCCCACTAATAAAATAATAATTATTATTTTCATTATTATTTTTTCCTCCCTTTCTTTTCCTTCTTTTATTAATTAATTCTCTATTTTCATTAAAACAAATAATTGAAGAAAGGAAAACTAATTGATATAGCCAACCTTTTTTAAATAAAAATGTTTAAGAATAATTTACAAATTTAAATTTACAAATTGTAATTGCCAAGGCCGAAAAAATACAAAAAGTTCTAACTGCTGGAGTATCAGAAAACGCTCCAATGGCAAATGAAATAACGTTTGTAAGTGAACTTTTTAATTAAATAATTAATTTTAATTATTAAATATAGTCGAACCGAAATTTTAATTAAACACTAGAAATTGTATCTAAAATATGGAGTATATATAAATTTTGTGGGGGTCGCCTAGGCCATCCTCCACTCCCAGTGGCCAACCAAATTAAAAAATTAATCTTTTGAGGGTTAATGTAAAATTGAGGAGTTAACTTATTTATAATAAATTAAAAAAAACTATTTTTTTTTCTCTCCACCTTATAGTTATTGAAGGACCAGCATCTTCTAAACACAAAGCCATTCTTTTAGCTATTTCATTTATATTATCAAAATTATTATTTTTATTAAATATTTTATTTGTTCTGTGCCAGGCACGCATCTACATATTGAAATAATTATCTTTTTTTAATTTAAAATTATTACCAAAATAAAAATATCATCAACACCAACAGAAAGAACCAAAAACAAAGCAGCTACAATAATTGACTGAAATTTGTAGCCTGTGGCTGCCATTAAACCTATTGCTGTTGACTGTAATAAAAATTTAAATTATAGCTATTAATTTTCAATAAAAGACACGGATACGATTAATAAAAAAAATATTTTGCTAAGGGGACGGGACTTCAACCACTCCATACCGACCCTGGGCATGATCCCTATTCTTAATTTACCATAGCAAAAAGCGGAACTAAGCAACCAATAAAACATTCAACAAAACGATTTTCTTCTCTTTTAGCTCTAAAAGATGTTGAGACAACAAAAATCTTAAAAATTATTTTTTTAAATATCCAAAATAATTAATTTACAATCATAAAAACAACAGAAGTAGCTAAAAGAGGCGCAGTTTCAGCTCCCATTCTTCTAACTTCTTGTGTAACTAAATAATCACTAGTCATTCCTGTCTGGTATTTTTTAATTAAAATTTAAAAATATTTATTTAATTAGAAATACTTTTAATAAATTTGAATAAGGGGGATGTTCAAAAAGATCAATTGCAGCTGAAAAAAAATTTTTATAAAATTTTTCTGAAAAATCTAAAATATAACCATTTTGCCATTTAACAAGCAAATCTTTATCTTCATAATTAGCAACCAAAAAGAAAGGCATTATCTCAAAAATATTTTTTTAATTTTTATAATAATTATTAAATAATTTACAGCTGTATTAAATGTTTCGAGAAGTTTAATTGTTGGAGATTTTTTTGTTCCAGATTTTCTTTGTAAGGCTAAAAGTAATGCTTGTTCCTCTTGTGTTGGCATTTCTGTTTTTTCGTTTTTAACATATTCAGTTCCAGTAAAATTTTTGAGAGAAACGCCATATATATTATTACCTTTTTAATTAATAATAATTAGGAATTAGGATCGAGAATAAATCATAAAGATCCATTAAATTACTTAAAATATCCTAAAATGTTGGGAAATTTTATCATAAGTCCAAAAAGACATTCCTGCTAGTAAACAGGCATCCCTGCACATGCTTTAAGTAAGGGCGAGGTAAAAGTTTAATCCCGGGCAGACTTCGATCCTGTGACCTCCTGTCAGTTATTGCTAGGCGCTTTCGCTCACAGGTGCTCTACAGGTGCTCTACCAACTGAGATCTTAAACCCCCGGATAGTGAGCGTTTTTAATGCTAGCCAGCTGGATCTTTCTCTTACTTACATTTACAAGAATCGCAAAATTTGTAAACTTTGCATAGTTTGGATTGGCTTAGCGATAGCCAATAAATAAATATAATTATTTAGGTATTTATAACGATAAAGGATGATATATCAAGAGATTTGTTTAAAATTATAAAAATGCTGAAGAAATATTTTAAATATTTATTTTTAGTTACCAATAAAAGCTCTAGTTCCAAATAATTCTACTGCTGGATATGTATAAGTTAAAGGTTGTTCAGGGTCATAAACTTTAAGAAAGGCTAAGAAGGCAGTATTCAATTCACAATAAGGTTCACAAATATTTCGATAACCATAAACTCTTCCATTTTTTTCTATATGGATCTAAAGTAATTTAAAATATTTTATTTAAATTTGGAAATTTTTTGATATAAATTTAAGTTTCTCTCTCTAATTATTTTCACAACCTCTTGTTGAAGGGCTCGAGTTAAATTATAAAGCAACCAGCGATGTTCAGTTCTTAAAAGGTTACCCCCATCTCTTGCACGGCTCATAATATAGCAAGGATCTAATGTTCCATTCTAAATTTAAAAAAAATACGTAAGTAAAATTATCTATTGAAACAAAAATATAAAAATGAAATCAAGATTAGATAGACTATAAACTAATTAAATTATTTTTAAAAGTATATTTGCCTGTAAAAAAAACTAGGCTAATAAATATTGTTACGCAAAGCCTAGATCCTGACACCTCGAAAATCAACGAAAAACAGGTCTAAATATTTTAAAAATATTTTCAAACAATTATGGGTGTTTTGAATCTTGCTTTTAGGCTTATTTTAATGCTCTTGAAATTTGCTACAATCTTACAGACTCTTATTTTTCAGAAAAAATTTCAAAGAGGCTAAATTTGTGTCTGAATTTCATAAAATCCAAGAATTAATTACTTGTTTAAGAAAATATTTGGCTATTTTATATTCAATCTTGCTTGGAGCATTTAAAGGCGAATATTCTGTTCTAACATTATTAACTTCTTCAAAACGTAAAAGTCCAAAGCTGGCTATTATAGTTACGAGAATAACGGTGAAAATAATTTGAAGAAAATTTCTTCCTTTAATTTAAAAATTATATATAAAGACCTCAGGGATATTTAAATTATTTTTAAAAATATTTTTAATACAAATTTTCATTTAATTTTTTTCTTATAAATTTTAATTTTTAAAAATATTTCCATAATTACATATAAGTAAAAATTAAATAATTCACCAATTTGATAGCCAAGTAAATAAAATCCTCGTTCAAATAAAAGTGTTGGGTGCCGCATTTTATAAAATTAAAAATTGAATTTTTTCCTAAAATATTAAAAATAAAAATATAAAAAATAGAATAAAAGTAAATTAAACAATTCAAATTTAAGTTTTAAAATAAATTATAAAATAAAATATAAAAATAATTAATTAAAAATAACAATTATGTTTATTTATTTTAATTTTTAGATTCAATTAGCAATTGGGAAATGACCACCAATCTTTATTATTTACATTAATTATTGCTTAGCGCAAATAACAAAAAAATTTAATTCTTGTTTTGTTACGTAAATTAGGTAAAAGAAAGGAGGAACAGATAAATAGATAGTAGCCATAAAAAAATAAGAAAATAAACTAGATTTAGTTAAATTAACTAGATAACTGGATGGATGGGGATATATGTTGCAATTTAATTTAAAAAATTAATTGGAAAAACAAAAAATATTTTTATTGGAATTAAATATTTATTTTTTAATTGACTATTAAATATTAAAAAAATAAATAAATATAATATTTTTATTTAGTATAAATTTTTTGACCTTGGAAGCGATTAAAATAAAAATAATTATTTTTAAAAAAATATTTTTGTGAAGCAATCAAGCAATAACAACACCTATAAACGTTAAATTGTTTAATCATTTATTTATAACCAGTATTTGTTTATATTTCTTTTGTTGTTGCAAAAATAAACAGAAAAGGATATATAAAAAATAAAAAAATTAAATTCAGGATTAAATATATGTCTGATATTTAAATAATAATCCGTTTAAAAAATTTAAAAAAAGAGAAAATGAAGAAAAAAAATTACATAATATTTTAAATGAGGTAAATAAAAAGAAAAAGAAAATAATTTTGAAAAAATAAGAAAATTCAATAAAAGTTTAAAAAATTAAAATCTGGATAAGTAAGAAATAATAAAAGCGTTTAAGAAAAATAGTTTTTTAATATCTAAACCAAAAATTAAAGAAAAACCTAAAGAAAAGGCATAATTCAAAATTCTAAACCAGAAGTTTCTACATTACAATTAAGCTATGCTAATGGAAATACCTTCAATTAAATTAAAAAATTAAATAGAATATTCACAAAAAATAAAAATAAATATTAATAAAAAATATATCGCTACTTTTTATATTTTAATCATCCGGTTGATTTTTACAAAATGTGTCGCAAAACATTAATTACAAGCAGAAATGTTTATTTATTTAAACATTTATTTTTGAGAAGAAGCAGAAAAAGCCTTTTAATACAAACAAGGTAAATATAATTAATTTTATTTAAAATAAAAAAATTAAAATGGATGATAAAAATAAATTAACGGTTTCACTTAACACTTTTTAACACCAAAAATAGTATTTTTTAAAACATGTTAACAAGTTCCATTTATTTAAAATTGAATTGGATATGTCAAAAATAATTATTAATTTCCTTTTTATTTTTGTCATTAATCATTTGAAAATTATTTGTATTTAGTAAAGTTTTCGGGGATAACAAGCATGACTTGGATAGGAGCCATTGAAAGAAAAAAGGGTAGAGGGAATTCCCTATAGTTATCTGATAAAATAAGAGGAAATAAAAATATTGTAATGTGGGAAAGGGAGGAACGAGATTGTGAATTTGAGATAAAAAAAGTTTAAAATTTGCAGGTAGGAGACGAAAAAGACTGTGTAGACCTAGGATATTTGGCCCGAAAAAGACTTGTATGGTCCGGTCCGATAAAAACGCCTCGACTGTAGGCCATACTCGCCATACCCTAGTTATAAATATGAAAATAAAACGGAGGAGAGAAGTTATACTTATTTAGGGTTATAACAAATTTAAAGAATACATAATAATTAGTTAAATAAATATTATAAAATTATTGTTATGAAATTTACTAATATAAAAATGTTCTAATAATTTCAAAAACCTGTTTTCAATTAATAATCTCTAAACAATAAAAACATCTTTAAAAAATCAAAAGCTTTTAACAAAAAAATCTTTTCATTTTCAATTTAAAATCCTTCAAAAAGCCCCCTAAAGCAACAAAATCCTTTTCTTTTTTGTAACCTTTTTTTATTCTCCTTTGTAATAATTATTTCCTCCCGTTTTTCTTTCATGTATTTTTCCATGTCCTTTTCTTGTTTAATGACAAAAGTCAAATAAACCAACCGATCGGCATTTGGCTGACAATTTTGTTTGGTCAAACCGGTTAAAAAAGGGATTACATTAAAAAGAAGAAAAAATAATAAAAGAATAAAAAGGAGGGGAAGGGAGGGAGAGGAGGGGGGGGGGAAGAGGGAAAATAAAGGGCGCAGGCCAATCAGGCGAAAATCAGGGCAAAGACAAAGAAAACAAGGAGTAAATTAGTAAAATAAAAATAAGGATATAAGTACGAACAATGGAGATAATGTGAAAATTAGTGCAGAAAACTAAAAAGAAAAAAATTAAAAATTGTTGAAATAAATAAAAATAAATTAATTAACAAGTAATTAAAAACATTTAAAAAATACAAGGATTGTGATCATAGGAACCTAGGAGTAGTATATGTTACACTTTTATGCCAAAAATTTTTATCAAAATTTTCGACATAAAACTGTCACAAAAATTTTCTACAACTATTTTTCAAAACTAATAGATTTAGGGGGTTTTAAAAATTAAACAATCGTTGCTTAACTTGCCAGATCGGACGAGTGGGCACGTTTACAAAGCAGTACGGATGACTGCTGAAATTTTAATATAAGTAAACTTAATTCCAAACCAATGAAAAGAGGAAGGTTTACATCATTTTTGAACAAATGCAATTAAATAAATATAGAGCAAAAAATATTTTTACGGAAAAACTAATATAAAAACTGGTACAAATAAGATCAAAAAAGTTAAAGATAAAAATGTTTAATAATTGTTAAAGTTTTTACAACGAATTAGGGAATAGGTATTAATCTACGTTCTAAGTATAATGTTAGCTTCGTTACTCCGACTATAAGGGATTTGGTCATATATAAAAAACGATCTAGACGGAAAAATTGAACAGTAATTTAAGTCAAAAATTTGTATCGGCTGTTTAGTTTTAAATAATAAAATTTTATCAAAAAATTCTGGCATGTACCATTTTGTCGAATACCTATTTGTCGTAAACACTTTTGTCGTATGTCCTTTTGTCGTGTACTATTTTGGCGTGTACTATTTTGTCGTTGACCATTTTGAGAATAATTTTTACAAATTTTTCAAAAGGCCAGTAAGGGAGCAAAAGCGAAAAAAAGAACACATAATAGAGTTAATAGTGTTTGGTAATTTTATTTTTCTAACGACAAATGTTAAAAAATGAGAAAAATTAGATAGCGTCTAAAGTTTATAAATTAGAAATTGTGATATAAATAGAAAATTTGTAGTGCTAATAACAATTCTTCAATTGTAAATGTTTTTAATATTAATTTTTATTGCGCGTTTTTAAATATTTATTGTTTTATTTCTGTAAAAATTTTAGGCTTTAAATTTAACTGTATTTTAATTTTAATCTTTTTTACAAAGTATTTCATAATGTCTCTTCATCGAGGTTTTTAAACTGCCAAAAAATTTAATAGATTTTAATCTTTCAGATTTGGCTCAAAAAGGTTATTTCAAAGCGGATTACTTTGTGAACTATCTCAAATACCTTCTTTATTTTAAATGGACATAATTTTTGAGGTTTTTAATTTATTTTTGTTGATTAAATTTGGAAATTTTTTGGGAGGAAGAAGTTTTTAATTTATGCTTTAATGTTATTTGACCTTTTTTGTAGCATTTAAGGCCCTGACGGATGTTGTAAAAATGTCTATGCTATTTCTCTGTTTTCCCTTGGCAATTAATCGACAAAAAATTCTAGTCGGGCATATGAATAAGTATAGGGTAAATGAATTGAATACAAATTGTAAGATAAATAAGCAAAAAAGCGATAGAGTCACACTAGGAAAGTTCCTAAAAATTTTGCAAAAAAAGTTATGTTAAATTCCCTTTTTTCAAAGCTCATCATCTTTTAAGAACTCTCAAATACTCCCATGTTTATATTTACTTGAATGCTTACAACATGCAGAATTTCGTGAAGTTATAGCATCAACTGACAATGCTCGTTATATTGAAGATCAGCTTTACTACAATGGCATTTTTATATGCATGTTAGGCAACGCTTACAGGTTTAATTTTAAAAGGGTTTTTAATCTTAAAATTAATTTAAATTAATTTAGCAACATTCCCAGCCCGTTCAGCAATCATAAAAATTGAAATAATGGAAAACGGAAGCAGTATATTTTTTTGATTTTTGATGATCTTTTGTATAACATTTTTTCACTTTTGCGATAAAACGAGAAGAGTGACATTTGATCCCATAAGATTGTTCTTATTTCTGAGCTTTCTAGACCAATTTTAGAAAATTAAGGAAATGCCATATCATCAAATACAAATGCTGCTGAGGCAGATGAGAGAATGGAGGAATGTATAACCTATGAAGAATAAAATTTGGAAGAAAAATTGTCCGTTTCTTTATGACATGGTATTTTAAATAATTTTATTTTTTGTTAGTTTCTTGGGGGGGGGGGGGGGTGTCTCAAATTTTGGATTGCGACGGGTTATATATTTGGAAGGGACTATGTTTAGGACGGTTATCCAAGACCAAGGCTTTTTCGTCTCTTAATTTAATCAAAGGAAAATTTCCCCAACTTCGTCTTAATCCTGCTCTTCCCTGAAATAAACCCAATATCCTTAGCGTAAGTTGGGCTATTGAAAAATATTTTTCGGGCCTTAACCCTTCCATTTTCTTTTCCCATTATTTTTTTAAATGATAAATGTTTAAAAGATAGCCCGATCAGTAGTACTTTTTCTCATTACTTTAAATTCCGGGGCCTTTCGATATTTTTCACTAGTAAATTTTTCCTAAGGTTATGACGCACGCACTTGAATGTCCTAGCCGTACAGTTCAATGGTTACCGGATGTTAAACGTGTAGATGGTGACGATCATTAAAGGAACTCATACAGCTGATGAACAGGTTTTGCCTTCTTTTCTTTATAATTTTCGTAGAGTTGGACCTCTTTGTAAGGGTTTTCAGACATAATAAGTCCCCTATTTATGTGTCAAACCCCGACATTTGACATTGACTCTTCAATTTTTGATTAAAAAACAATTTTTATTTTTAAGCAAAGCCGTTTGTTAATTGCCAAACTTCTTTTGCCTACAGATGTGCAGCAACTTATTCAACACCTTGTTCAGCAATATATTCAATTGAAGGAATGGAAAACTGAATCCGTATATTGTGATTTTTTGATGATCTTTTTTAAAATATTTTTACACTTTTGCGATAAAAGAGAAGAGGGGCATTTGATCCTATCTTATTTCTGCGCTTTTAATTTAGACCAGTCTTAAAAGATTAAAGTAAATGGCAAAATCATCAAATACAAATGCCGCTGTGGGAACCAATGCAGAATACAAATTTGGAAGAAAAATTGTCAGTTTCTCTATGACAGGTACCTATTAATGGATAATTTTTGGGGTTAGATAATTAGGGGATCTACTATTTTGAGCGATGAGCGTTTTTTATTTTATGTACTCCACTAATGTAAAGATACGACGGTTATCAAAGACTTGATTCCTATCGCCTCGTATTTATCCAAAGAAAATTTTTGAAAACCCGACTCGAGACGCAACCCAACTTTTTCTCAATCCGGCTTATTCTGAAATACCCTATATTCTTACGGTATGGCGTGCCAGTTTTATCAGATTAAAGTGAATGGCTAAAGCTATTTTTATAAATTTAAAATACGCTAACACAAAAGCCCCCAAAAGCTTAGATTAACCGATAATGAATTTTTCAAGTTTATAAAACACGCCAAACGCCAAAAATAACGCCAATCTTTCCAATTTAAAAATCTAAATGCCAAACAAGCAATGCTGGCAAAAATTAGCGATAGTAATGTCAATTTTTCAATATTTAAAGCACGCTAAAACATAAATGCCAAAAATAACGCCAAAACTTAATAAAACTTAAAAAATAATAAAAAATATAATAAAATAATAATAAAGCCTTAGGGCAGGAAAATGTTTATGAAATTAATAACTGATGAGGTTTAGAAAGGTGGGTGTATTTATATACGAACTTTTTGACCGCTCTGAATGTTTAGTTTCTAATCGAGCAAAATACTTAGTGTGATTGATGGGTCCGTGCACAAAAGTTTTGGCGCCTGTTTATAAAAAATAAAATTCTGCAAAATAATGAGTGTCAGCCGCCAAAAGTGTGATTAATTGCAAAAAATGTTCTTAATTTAGTAACAAAATAAATAAATAAACCAAAAATTGTGAAACAGAGCGTGTAATTAATCATTCGAGGCCAAAGTTTGGGCTGTCAGGATCCATATAAAAGCCAGCCCGAAAACGCCTAAAGAATCATTCTGCTTTCCAATTCAACTTTTCCATACAGCCCCTCTTCTCTAAATATTCCACTCATTAATTTAATTATATCCTTATACCTCTCCCTCTTATATGATTAAATTTTAAAATTATTGTATTTAATGTTTTAAATTTTCCACTTAAAATATTTAAATTTTCTATTTTTAAATTTTTAAAATTATTTTATTTAACATTTTTAATTTTTCCAATAAAATTTTCTGCTTTTGAAATTGTAGAATTAAATTTAGAATTTTTAATATTAATAAAATTTCTAATATATTTTCCCCTAATTTTTGTTTTTTTAAATTCATGTTTATATAATTTTTAAATAGTTTAATTTTTTCTTTTCATAATTCAATTTTAGGTGCGCATATTATTTCATTGAAAGAAGTTCTGATGGAAAAAAGTGTTGAGACAACTATCAAAAATGGTAAATGATAACCATATTATTATTCAATTTAATAAAATGCTTATCATTTACAGGCACTGCGGACGCTCCTATTATGATTGATGAAAATATTGGGACGGAGATGTGCGGCGATAAAGGAGGAGAGGAAAAGGAGTTGAAAATTTCGCAAGAAGGTTCGGCATTGGACGGTAAATATTAAATATTTTCTAATAAAAAAGGAACTTCAGTTTCAATGACAGCAGAGGAAATTCAAGAAGTTCGCGCATTTATCTTAGAACAGAAAAAGAAAAAGCAAGCTGCCGAGACGCGACGAAAGCGCTCAATAGAAAAATCGAGTTCAACCTTGAGTTCGGGTTCTTCTTCAATCAAGGCACCGACCGCAAAGAAGGCACAAAGCAAGCCAAATAAAATGATTCAAAATGTTCAGCGAGACACATATGATGAAGTCATTGAGGTTTGAAATTTGTCTTTAAATTTAAAGTTAATACTTTAGTCAGTTATTAAACGAGCAAAGGGTCAAATGGTCAAACATTCAAAGGAAGAAGGGCCTAAGGCTATTATTGATGCAATGATTGATTATGATGAGGAAGAGGACGAGTCTGATGACCCAGATCCAAATGCTGTTATTTCTTTGGGCGAGGATGAAGAGGAATACAAGCAAAAGCGAATCGAACGTAAGTTTTATATTTTTTTATTTAAATATTTTTTAGGTAAGCAACGTGCAGAGACATTAGTTCCAGAGGGATTGCTTAAGCGTGCTCAGGTGCTTAAAGTACCGCGCCAAGGAATTTTTATTCACCAATGCAACGACTGTCGAGAAACGCAGAAGAAACGACAAAATTTTCTTTACAAAGCAGGAAATGATATAAATTTTATGCTTACATTCGAATTGTGCGCAGAGGATCTCGACAAAAATATAAATCTAGGGACGTATTATGCTGCCATTTGGGGTATTACATAATTATCAAATAATCTAAAAATTTTTAAAAGGTTTCAAAGAAATGTTTGAAACGCCTGAGGAACAAGCGTCCAGCTTTTCAAAATGTAAGAAAATTACAAATATTGAAATTATTGAAAAAATTTTAAGCTGACGGTGTTTTATACTTTCGACGCGGCGCAAATATTGCTTCAGGGACTGATTATAAGCTATTGGGCTTATTGAAATATTGTTGGATTTTGCATCAGGTAAAAATTTCAGTTTAAATACGATTTATTTTAAAAGTTTAGTGCGATAAATGTATCAGTCTTCAGAGATCCTTAGCCAGTGACATGTTCTTGCATAAATGTGGGGAAAAATATGAGCTGAGTTTCATGGTAGATTTTCAAAAAATTTTTAAAAATAATTAAAATTTTATAGATTTGCGAGGCCTGTAAAGACATCAATAAGGACTACCAACAGAAAACTTTTGATATGTTTAGCAATTTTAATAAGAAAAAATGAATATTGATAACTATAACTTTTGTTGAATAAAGGATATTTTTTAATGGAAATTTTATTTCACATTCGTATGATCGAATTTTATCTTTTAATTTACTAATTTATCTTTGGAATTCTTTACAGCTACAAATCTCAAATTTGGAAAAAAAGGTTTCATTTCCTTCCATTTAATTATACATTAACTTTCAGATGGAGCAACATGTAGCGGATATTGCACTTGAAGAGCTCAAAGAGAAACGTAGACGTCTGGCTAGACAACTTGAGCAACTTTTCGATGCAGAGTATGATGAAAAACAGCTCAAGTTGGATCTCTACGCCGCATTCATTCAACATCATCGGAATAGATATCCGCAAATTTCATTAAGTAGAATCCATGAGCATTTTTTGAAGGAGAGACACGCAATGGGAAGACAGGTTTTTATCGAAAAAAATTTTTGAAAATTTTATTAAAGGCCATTGTTGACGTCGTCAAAAACGAGCTGTATTATGCACTAGGGCATACAAATAGCAAATATTGGGGGCAAATAGATATGCAATCTGCAATAGACGTTTGCTGCTACAGGAATTATATACCAACAAAGAAGAAAAGAGGTCGTTAATCTTGTTCATCTTTAAAAGTAATTCATATTTTTAGAAAATTCTCCTGTCATAATAATGAACGACATAACTAAACGTTTGGAATCTCAACTTAATATTGAGACACCAGAAGGTCAGGATTTAGCAAGTGGAGGCGAGGGCACATCGGCAAGTACAATCCAAGACAATGTGTCAATATTTATGCCTGATACTGTGAATTATTTATCTACTACGGACAAGATACCAGAAGAAGATGAATGGTAAAAGATATTCAAGCAATCGATAGTTTTTAACCAAATGTTGTTTTTCTAATAAAAAATAAAAAACTATTATCGTTTAAAATAATTTTTGCGTTATTTTCGCAATAATATTTAAAAAAATAATTTTAAAAATTTTTAGAATTTTAGATGAATCAAAGAAATTTTGGAAATTATTCCATAAATCACTTTTATAAAGAAGACGTATCCGAAAACATCAACAGTACAAAATTTAAAATAGGAGTATTCAGGTCTATTAAAAATCTTTCCTTATTTAATTTAAAATTCTAGAACTGTTTTCACGGTGAGGAATGTTGATGATGCTCCAGAGGGCAGCGATAAACTTCTTGAAGATTTGGTAGATCATTTCATAGCAAGGGCCGACAAGGCGGCAGGTTCAAAGGCTGAGAAATGTTCTATTATAATAAGAAGTTCTGTTCTCGAAAAACCCATTCAAATACCATATCGAGGACTTGCTCAAAATACTCCTCAAGTCGTTATGGAGCAATTTGATGCCGTTGACCAGAGCGGAAAACGAATGGGGAGGCCTTCCCTATATAGCCAGCCTATACATATTGAGGTGACTATTATTCATTTATAAATATATTTTTTAATTTAGATTGTTATGGGGCCTTCTCATGATGAGGCACTTGAATTAATAAAAAAAGGCGAGGGAGGAATGGGCAGGAGATCGAGAGAAATTCAACAGGGAGTAGATCTAAACAATCTGATACCTGTAAACTTGAATTAAAATTTGAATTAAAATTATGAATTAAAATTTGAAAATTTAGGTCCATAACGAAAATCTTAACCCTCCAGCGAATATTCATTGTTTACTTCTTGCTGTTCAACTGAAAATACTATATGTCAACTTAGAAAAGACTAATGTAGAGAAGAAAAAATTCCACAGGCTTATAAATGGACAAAATAAGAGAGCAAAAATTGAGCGAACCCTTTTAATTAAAGAAATGCTACAGCAAATGCCAAGATATGGAATTCGCTATCCTACTTACGCGCCTCAGTACACTGTTGAAGAACATGTTCCACTGATACAACGTTTTCTGGATTTGCGTTTTCCTGGAAAGTACCGAATTTCAGTATTCGGCGAACAAGGAAGAATCAGGCCAATATGGAAGGGAGCTGAAAGGGCCGAACACGAGATTGCTCTATATTTAAAAGGAGAACATTATTATGGGATTAGAAACCTGAATGCGCTCTTTGGTTCATATTATTGTATTGATTGTGAGGCGCCATACACACAAAAATATGCACATCGGAATAAATGTATTGCTAAATGCCCTCGATGTTGTGGAATTGGATACGGATTCCCATGCAAAGTAATTGAAGGATATTCTAAAAAATGCTTACAATGTGCAAACACCTTTAAAAATCCTGATTGTTTTAAAAGACATACAGAAAAGGGCATATGCAAGATTTATAAAAGGTATTTTTCAAATTAGAAAATTAATAACATAAATTTTAGATGCGAGAAATGCGGACATATTTACCGCTCTAAGAAAGATTCAGCTGTCACACAAAAATCAGACAGCGAGTCTACAGATGATAGTGAACTTACCGCAGATACTAACAACAATGGACATATTTGCTTCATACATTATTGTAACCTCTGTCGTTCTTTTCACAAACGCGAAGAACGTTGTTATGTGCAACCACTCATACCAAAAAAGGAGCATGAATATCTATTGGTATTTAATTTTTCTTTTTTAATTTTGCTCAATTTAGATTGTCTTTGACTTCGAATGTGAACTTATATCACCGACAAGAAATAAACAAGAGTGGCAACATTTGCAAAACAATGCTTTAATGCCTCTTAATGCAATTCCAGACGATGAAAACTATCAAGTACATCATGTGAATTGTGTATCGGTATCCATTATTATGTCTACACATTTGAAATTTTTAGGCATTATTGATGTGTTCACGATGTATTAGAAATGATAATTGGAAAAATGAAAAAACGGGTCGTTGTAAAACTTGCGGTATGGACATGCCTAGAATGAGAACTTGGACTGCAGCGGATTTTTTAAATCCTTTGCGTGAATTTTTGGAATGGTTGATTAATGGATTGGGGAATGAGCGATCATGGAAAACATATGCTATTTCTCATTATGGGGGGTTTCTTTTGTTGTATACTCTTTTCTCATTATTAATTTAAGCCGATATGATATGCATCTACTATTGGGCGAATTGATTAAACATTTTGGAATTGAGCCAAAAATTACTAGGACTGGAAACAAGCTTTATGAAGTTCTAATTAAAAAGCAAAGAAGGCGATTTCCTTATATATCATTTCGCGATTCATTCAATTGGACAATGCTTAAATTGGAACAACTACCAAAAGCACTTGCACTTGAAATAGATGAAGGGGGAAAATCCTTCTTTCCTCACGGATGGAATTTCAATAAGAATATGAATGTTCGGCTTAATGGATTGCCTGATCAACAATTTTATTATCCAGATTCTATGGGAAAAGATAGAAGAAAAAAATTCGAAGAATGGTATACAAACAATAAAAATGAACCATTTTGTCTTCGTGAACAAATTGTCGAATATTGTCAACAAGATGTACGTATTCTAGCGCATGCTCTCGTCAAACTTCAACGCCTTTTCTTTGAACTAGCTACGGAGCCGTCCAAGCGAGATGACGTACTTGTTAACTCTATGACAATTGCCAGCGCATGTATTCGTCATTTTTGTAAGATTTAAAACTTATATTTTAAGAAAAAATTTTAAGGTATAAACTATTTGAAAGAAAATCAAATGGGTATAATTCCCGATAATGGTTATCATCGGGATTCGAATCAATCTGCAATCGCTTTAAAATTTCTTCGTTGGCTCTCACACAAGACAGGTCTTCAAGTTCAACATCAAGAAAGCCCAGAAGGAGAAAAAAGAGTTAAGGTTTCTGATGGAAGTATTTTGCGTCTTGATGGGTATATTAAAAACATTGGAGGAGTAGACCAAGCAATTGAATTTCTTGGATGTGCATGGCACGGACATGAATGGTAACTTTAATACTTCTTCAAATAATTCGTTTTAAAGTTTATACCTCCCACATGAAGTTTGTTTAAACGGGAAGACGGCACTATATAACAAAGACAAACTTTATGAACGTGTTAGCTTATTGAAAGAAGAGGGAATTTGGACTACTGCCGTATGGGAATGTGAAGTTATGAAAGAACTTGAAGAGGATCCAGAAATGTCTCTGTTTTTTGATACATTGCCAGATATTGGCCCTCTGTATCCTAGAGATGCTTTTCATGTTTGATTTAGCTTAATTATAGTATATAATTTTAAATTAAGGGTGGAAGAACGGGCCCTTTAGCTCTAAAATGTGATTTAGAAGGATCAGACGAATTTGAGATTTCTTGTTTTGATGTTGTAAGTCTGTATCCTGCAGTGAATTTTTATGCATTTTATCCGCTAGGTGAATTTAAACTATATTTAAATAAATTTGATATTTATTAGGACATCCAAATATTTTGGAATTAAATAAAGATGTAAATTGGACAAAGCCTGAAGATTTACATCCATATCGTGGTCTGTTCAAGCTCTTCATCATTCCCCCCGATGATTTATATCTTCCAGTAATTCCAGAACGAATTCACGGAAAACTGGTAAATATTTTCTAAAATTTTATATTATTAATAAACAGATATTTCATCTTTGTCATCGTTGTGCAGTGGAAATATCTCCAGGCGTGGCAATAAGGGCAAACAGTAAATATAACAAAGAAATTGGTCACAAATGGTGTCCGCACACAGATGAGCAACGAGGATTCGTTAGTACTACTTGCTCGGTAGAACTTGAACTTGCTTTGAAGCAGGGATATCGCGTGACTAAGGTATACAGCATATATCATTGGGAAAATTGGTCAGACACCTTGTTGAGGCCATATGTTCAGGATATGATGCGTCTAAAAATTGAGGTAAAAATTATTTTATGGCTTAATAAAAACAATACAGGCGAGTGGATGGCCGAATAGTGTGTTTGTCGATGGAAATTCTGAACTAGAAAATCAGAGAAAAAGAGAATTTATTGAAAAAAACCAGAGTGTATATGGAATACATTTAGATCCATCACGGATTGAAAGAAACGAAGGAATGCGCTACCTTGCAAAGACATGCAACAACTCAATGTGAGAATACTTTTTAACGTGTGTCATTTTTTAATTTAGGTGGGGGCGATGGGCGCTTCGCTGTAACTTGTCACAGGTTATTTCTCTTTAAATTTACAACAAATTTTTTAGGATTGTATAACTAGTTCCCCTGTGGAGCTCCACACGGTTCTTAATGATCCAAAACTTGAACTTGGAGCCGTAGAAATGCTTGCTCCAAATCTTTTTTCCGTTCCATATCGGCATCGAAGAGAATTTGTACGCCCACACGACAAATACAATATTGCAATTGCACTAATTACAACAGCAAAAGCCAGAATAATGCTCTACGACTATATGGAAAAAATAGTTAAAGAAAAGGATTGCAAGTTGCTTTATACGGACACGGATAGCTGTTTTTACGTGCATCGGCGAGGACAAACGCCTCCTTTTCGTGTTGGTGAAATGCTTGGTATGATGGATCGCGAATATGGTGAATGGAACATTATTGCATTCTATACTGGAGGGTGCAAGCAGGTATACAAACATTTTTAATCAAACGCAAATTTTCCAGTATGCCATGAAAATGAAGCACAAAAATAGTGGAGAGATTAAATATATTGTAAAATGCCGAGGGTGCTGGGACAAAGTTGATTCTCCTCTTGACTTTGAACAATTCAAGGTTATTTTTCAAACGTTTCTAAATTTAAAGAATAGGTAATTTAGAAAATGGTTGAAGTTTATGGTGAGGAACAAGAACCTGTCATTTTGGAAAGAACACATTTTCAGCCGAGCTGGCGTAGAGGGGAAGTTACAAGCAGATCACAAAAAAGGTATCATATATATATATAATTATTATCAATTTAAAAATCTAGACGATATGCGCCAATCTACGACAAGGGAATAGTTGATGCCAATTTTGATTGTTATCCTTACGGATACAGAGGTGAACCGCTTATTGATCCAACCGAATAAAATATTTCGAATAAATTTTAAAAAATTTTTTAAATTATTGTTTATTACAAAAAATATCTTAACATTTTGCAATTAAAATCTACTTAAAGATTTGCTTACCTAATTACAGATTTGATTTTTATTAATTATTTAAATGGCTGACAATTTAGGTAAATTAATTTTCCCATTTAGATAATAATTAAACGTTAAGAACTCACTACAATGATGGTAGAGAAATTATCAATAAATTCCAACAGCATAAAGACTACACCCCTTATCAACCTTCTATGTGACTTCAATGGAGGATGCGTACCAGAAATGCTTAATTGTGAAATACGAAATAATTACAACGACAATTTGCAATTTATAAAATCACTAACAAGTATGTCTCTTGAAGACGTTAAGAAAGCCGGTGTTGGACAAAAGGAATTTAATGAAAACAGTATACTTCCTGGAAAGCGATGTCTAATAACAAATCATCTTAAAAATCGTTTTATTGAAGTGTATCCTAAACATTTTACGGAAATGGGATCTGATCGAATGTTTGCTCTTCGAGGATATTTATCAATAACAATTCGGTATTTTATTTATTCGATTATTTTATATTTTAAGTCAATTTTATTATGTTCGACACCGTGTCAATCTTGTTTATCCTCATCTTCCACTTGTATGCGTTTCGGGTGGTGGAAAGCATGAATACTATTACCCAATCGAGTGCTTGGACTTTGTCGAAATCGATAAACAAACTGGAAATTAATTTTAATGTTTATTATCCAAGAATAAAATTGTTCAATCAGTGACTTTAGATAAATCTGTTTTATACATTTATCTCTATCGATTATTAATACATGTTTTCAGTTTTTAGAATCACTATGATCAGTGACGTAAATCTTGGTAAACATTTAAATCGAAAATTTATAAAAATAATTTAAGAAACAACTTCACTTATGCTTGAACGCCTTAATTTGAAGCATGAACAAAATTCTTTGCCTCCTGAAGAAATTATTGGGGCACAAAAACAAAATATATTTATTTTCAATTCTCCCAGATGTGGATTCGACAACCGATTTATAACAACATTTACTTTGCTTGGGCGTTCATTCTCTTCCATTGAACAGTATTTCATCTGGCAAAAGGCTAGATTTTTTATGGATTTGGAACTTGCTGCTGAGGTGCTTATGCTTAATAATCCATTGGCTATAAGACGAATTGGAACGCGTGTGAAAAATTATAATAGAAATGAATGGGATTCAGTCAAAGATAAGGCAAGGATTAATTTTATGCAAGGCATTAAATAAAAATTCTAGGTAATGTACACAGGGTTGTGGGCCAAATTTACTCAGAATGTACAACTCTTCAATCAGTTACGTGCAACTGGAGACGGACTCATTACACATGCATCAGCATCAAATCTTTATTGGAGTAATGGATTAAGCCATAAAAGCCCGATTCTGAATGATCCAGGTATTTGGGAGGGAGAGAACAAACTTGGTGAATTATTGATGGAATTACGAACCGAAATTAACAAAAGTATTTTTTAATTTATTTTTTCAAAAACATTGAAATTGAATTGTAAACTTTATTGTGTGTTGAATAAATTTCTTCTTCTGATTGTGCACCGGTAATAATGCATTTTCCAGTTGTGAAGATAATTATAACTGTGTGAGATTCCTTCAGTCTTAGACACATCCCAGGAAAAAATTCAGGATTATACGATATGTGCCTAGCCAGCCATGAGGGTGGAGCGAACCGCATCGAATCATACAAGGCTAAACATTATTTTTTAATCAATACTTAATATACCTGGTAAATTTATGAATCCTCCAAATGTAAAAGAAGAAACTATATTCTGAATTCTAAAATTGTGAATATTTATGAATAATTTGGCTGCTGCGGAAATTATTTTAACAAAACATATGAGAGCGGTTTCCGAGTCATTTGATGATTTTGTTCCGACGCAAACTATTCTTCCATTTGCAAAAAGTAGCGCTGTAGCAGTTAATGGTTCTTTTATTTTAAATGTTAGTGCAGAAAACCGCTCAGGACGATATTTAGCATTAGGAATATTTTCTGCAAGTTTATTAAGATCTAATTTGTTGTCACCTTCAAGTAGAGTAGCTGTAGATACCACGTTTTGAATAATTGCTTTTTGATACATTTTAAGGTCCTATATAAATAATTTAAAGAATTTATAATTAAATAAAAAATGTTCACAGCTCCTTTTACTATGATAATTTCGGGTGCCACAGGGAGTGGCAAAACCCAATGGCTATTAAAATTCCTGGCACACACTGACCAACTTATTGATCCTTCTCCTTCAAAAATATTATATTGTTTTGGAGAAATGAATGAAACGGTCTTTAAGCTAAAGGAAATGGGAATCACTACTTATAATGGGGTTCCTGAATCTGAATTAATTAAGCAGCATCAGCTTTTAGTTCTAGATGACTTAATGCTTAATATTCCAAATGATTTTCTAGATTTACTTTTTACTCGCGGTTCACACAATTGGGGAGTAAGTGTGATTTTTGTAACTCAATCCCTATATGGACGCGATATAAAGACTGCAAGAGCAAATGCACATTATATCCTTTTAACAAAAAACCCTCAAGGTCTTTTGCAAGTGCGCACGCTAGGGTCGCAGCTTTTCCCAAAAATGCTTAATTATTTTCTTGAAGCGTATCGAGATGCGACATCGGAACGTTTTTCTTATCTACTAATAAACATGCATCCTAGCACCGATGAAAATATGCGATTATCTACAAAAATTTTTCCTGGAGAAAAAACTACTATATATTTGCCGCTATAATATATAAGTGCTCAAAAATATTAAATCTAAAATGCCCACGTATAACTATAGCCCATACGTTAAGGATAATTTTGAGTTTCTTCAACAATTATCAAAAACTACTTCAGATAAAAAGAAAAACGCGCTCATCCTTTCAGCACGCGCAGACCAAATTTTAGCGATTGTTGAAATTTGTGCTAATATTCTAAAAAATAATTTTACTCTAAGTAGGAGACAGCGCAAGAAATTAGCTCAATTTGCTGACTTTTATCGTTCAATCGCTCGAACGCGTACTGAAAAAAGTGCCAGAAATCGCATACAACAAGGAGGTAGTGCTGCTTTAGCTGCAATACTTGTACCCGTCTTAGGAGCTTTAGCTGAACACATTATTCATAAATTCTCTCAGGAATGAAACATACAAAGAAAATGATTATGGTGCCTGAAAGCGAATATCTTACGCTTTTAGGTATGATTAAAGGTGGCGACTTTCTACAAAAAGAGAAGACACAAACAGATGTAGATATTATGAAAACCCTCGATAACCCAAAAATTTCGGAAGATTTAAAAGCAAAGAAATATAATTGGTTATATAAGAAGAGGCGACAGCTCAAAAATGAGTTGGAAAATCGCCCACAAAAAGTTATTATCGATGATGGGAAACCTTCTCCAGAAGTTGCACCATACTTGCAGGAAAATATTGCTAATACACCAAAACCAAAGTTAGTTCCCAGCAAAATTCAAACATATTCCAACAGCGAATACCCGTCTGAATCAGAAGTGACTCCTAAGTTGCCGCGAGCAAAAAGAAAAAGTGCAATTCCTTTTTCCAAATTCAAAGGTATTATTGCATCACGCTATTCCACAGAATTGGATAATTATGTAAAAGATAACGCAAAAAAATTCAGAATAAGTAAGAACGGGAGTTTTGAGTCTAATGTCCCTGGAAGACTTGTAAAGAACAGCAATTTCACAGATGTTCTCGAATATGTAAAGGGTGAGACATCATCTCCCCCAAAAGGTTTTAGTTTTCTTTTTAATCGTCTTTCTAAGGACCCGTTAGTGAAAGAGATGATTAAAGAGACGCGTGGAGAAAGTACTACTGAAGGTAGTTCAACCGATAATCAATCAGGCAGCGGGAAAGGAAGAAAAAGAGTTTTAGTAAAAGTCCTGCCTATAAATTCACCTGGATTAATACGGCAAAAAAATAAATTTATTCCAAAAATATGGGAAAAGCTTTAGACACCTTTTTAGAAAAAATATATTATTCACTTAATTCTCCAGCTTCTTACGCCGGAATAAATCGCGTCTATGAAGAAGCGCGTCGGAAATACCCTAAGTTAAAATTGAAAGATGTTTATGATTTTCTTCATAAGCAAAGAGTGTACACAATGCATAGGCCTCTAAGAAAAAAGTTTCCTAGACTAGCCACTAGACCAGGAGGTTTGCACACAGATTGGCAAGCTGATTTGGCAATCTTTGACCAATTAACTGAACATAATGATGGGTACAAATATCTTTTGGTTTGTATTGATGTACTAAGTAGAAAACTTTATGCGGTGCCTGCCAAATCTAAGAGTTCTGAGGATATGATTGATGCGTTCGAAAATATTTTTAAAGTTTCAAAAGGGATACTTCCTCATAAATTATATACGGATCGAGGGTTAGAGTTTGAAGCGAAACGAATGAAAGAATATTTTAAAAAGAAGGATATAGATAAACGAGTAGTTTATAGTCCAGATGTGCATGCTTCTATGGCAGAAAGAGCCAACCGTACTATCAAAGAGCGGTTGTACAGATATTTTAGCGAACAAAATACCCTTCGTTGGATAGATGTTATTCAAAAAATTGTTTCAGGAATAAATGCAAGTATTAATCGAATCACAGGTGTAACTCCCAATTCTGTTACGTTTAAGAATGCTGGGGAACTTTTTAACAGACTATATAAGGATCCTAAAAATATACAAAATACTAAAACAAGCTCAATACTAGAGCCAGGACAAATTGTTCGTATCACAAAAGAAAAAGGGAAATTTGAAAAGGGATATTTACCCAACTACACTGACGAATTGTTTCGCGTACATATTAAAAACGACAATAGATCGCCCATTACATATAAGTTAAAAGATTTTGAAGGAAATTTAATTGAAGGGATATTTTATAGAGAAGAATTGGTACCCACACAAGAAGATACAACTCACCGTATTGCTGAAATTTTAAAAACACGTACACGTCAAGGTATTAAGCAACATTTTGTTCGTTGGATAGGATATAACGATAATTTTAATAGTTGGATTAACGATAGCGATATTGTTAGAAGATAAATATGGACTCCTTTTATGTTATATTACCCTCAAATACAGGAGGGGTTGAAGGAAATACCACTTCTAAATTTACTGTTCGAATGCCTGATACTCTTGAATTGGATTCAAGTTGGACTGTTGCACTATCTAATATTATATATCCGTTTTCTTTTTCATTGGCCGGAGATTCCGAAGAACAAGAATCAATAACCGTTTTTCGAAGATACGGAAATGAACTTTTACCAATTCGTATCGAGATACCCGATTTGTCCTTTGCCTCAGAAGAGGCATTAGAAGAGGCTATTAATGCAGTTTTGCTTGATGTATGGAAAAAGGAATTGGATCGCGAACGAGAGGAAATAAGGCTTGAAGAGAATAAAAAAAGAATTTATGGGAATTTTCGTAAAAGGCGTTCTGTCGAATCTATAAAAGAACAGTATGATAAACATGGTTATTTCGATCTTTATACAAATGAACTCAATAAATTTATCAAGCTATTATCAGAAGAGGATGAGGCAATTAGTCCAAAACTTACAAATTTGAGTCCAGGAGAAGGAGGAAAAAATATTCGTCTTTTGCCTCCTGCAAATCAAAAATCTCTTTATTTAAAAGTTATTGATAAATTTATTGTTTCACAACAATCCTTAGAACCTACTGAGCAATTGGCTAAGAATGGCTATTTCGATATGCAAAAGCAAACCTCTTTTAATTTTATGAAATATTTAGGCAAAAAAGGAATTCGATTACCTCCTATTAGCCCTGCCCCTCTTGCAGTTGATGGTATAGAAAGGGTGCGGTTTCGTCCGTATACCGATCAAATGGAGCGAGTCAAACAGGCTATTAAAGAATTTATGAATCCATCGAGGGACGATCAAGCTGAAGAGAAAGTTGTATCTGTCAATAGTCAAGAAATAACCCCTGAATCAACTCCACAAACAGAGGATGAGCATGAGAATCCGCAGGTTGATTACTCTCTAGTGACTATCACTCAACAATTGGAAAAGGAAGATTATTTTGATATGCCAAAGGACCGTGCTTATAAATTTATAAAATATTTAAATACGGAAATTAAGGGCGCAAAACTTCCAAATGTATTTGCGGGGAGCTCTGTTGAGACGGTTAGATTAGAGCCACAAACTGATCAGAAAGATCTAATAATGAATGCAATTAAAAGCTTCATGTTCAATTCTCCATACGTGCCTGAGTCTATTCAACAATCAGAAACAAAAGATTCTGTAGAAGAAAGTTTTGTTGAAAATGATCAAGAAAATTCTAATGAAATTGAAGAAACTCCTGCTACAGAAGTGACTAGTCCTATAATTGACGCTACGCTCAATCCTGAGCCTCCAGTTGAGTCATCTCCCACTCCTGAGACTCCAGGGACAAGGCCAATAATCGAAGCTCCGCCCCCTCCTTTGACAAGTCCAATAATCGAAGCTCCGCCTACTCCGGTGACAAGGCCAATAATCGAAGCTCCGCCCACTCCGGTGACAAGCCCTGTAATCAAAACTTCTCCTAATCCTGAGACTCCAGTGACAACACCTGAAGAAAAACACCTTGAATCTAATGACAAAACTCCTTTAGATGGGAAAATAACTCCACTTTCGTATGTAGAGGAGCCTGATGAAAAGCCATTATTAACTGATGATCAAAAAGTTTTAATGGAAATGGCCGTTCGTGCCGCTACAAGAGCATGGAGAAATAGTGTCGAGTTGGCAGAGCAAGCACAAATAAATATGGAACTTGGTGAAAAATATTGGCAGAATGCGCGCTTTAAGTATGCGCTTAAAGATAGTGTGGTTACATTAAAAGAAACGGGCGAAACTGTACACTTAAGAAAAACACCTGAAAATATTATTGAATGGGTTAAATCTCAATTAATATTGTTAACTAATCGTAAAATTTCAATTGATAAATGGACACAGGAATGTTTAGAGTATGGAAAAAGAGCTTCGGAAGCACAACTAGAGACTAAAGCTGCAGAAACCCGCGGTGATGTTTCAGAAGCAAGAAAAGCTGCAGATCGTGCTAAGGCTGCAGAACGTAAGGTAAAGGAAGCAGCTAGTCAGGTTGAAGAAGCTGTTGCAGGGCAAAAACGTTTATCAGAAGAAATTATTGGTAAAGTTGACGTAGAACTTGCAAAAGAAGATGCTTCGTTATTTCCTGTATCTTCAAATATTGAAGATGAAAATGAAAAATTACCAGAAAAAAATATCGAGGAAAATATTGAGATACATGATGATAGTGAAATACCCTCTGACGACGATGAGGACGAGAAAAAGTGGACACCTCCATTACCAGAAGAAGAAAATATCGAAGAAAATATTGAGGCGAACGAAGAACCAACGATTATCGAAGAAGGTACTGCGGAAGAAGATAAGCAAGAAGATACACAACATGAATTACAAACAATAACCGATGATGATGAAGAGCAATGGGAAGCTCCGTTACCAGAAGAAAGTAATGAGTTACATGAAGAAACAGTAGAAGATACTGAAGAAGATGATACAAGAGAAGAGCCTCCGCAGGAATCGCAACCAATAAGCGATGAGGACGAAGAGCAATGGACACCCCCATTACCAGAAGAAAAAAATATTGAAGAAAATATTGAGGCGAACGATGAACCAACGATTATCGAAGAAGAAACAGAAGAAATTGATACAAGCGAAGAGACTCTGCAGGAATCTCAAACAATTTACGATAAGGATGAGCAATGGGCACCTCCATTAGCAGAAGAAGACCCTGTAAGTATTCCGCCCTCAACCGCAAATTTACTTGAAAATATTGTGCAGCCTAAAGTAGATGAAATAATTCATACAGAGGAGCGGCCTTCTCTTCCCCGTCCTGAAATGTTAATTGGAGAGCCTTTTCACCATCCCTCCTCATGGAAAAGCTTCTTTGGACTTGGCGGTGTGTCAAGCGAAGACAAAACAAAACCTAAAGAGCTTCCAGGCCAAAAGGAAAAAGCAGAACCTCACAAAGAAAAGTTAACAATAAGAGTTGATGATTCGGATCCTAATGTAAAGAAAATGCATTTTGCTAAATATGGCTATCCTCCTGAATATCTAAAAATGCTTCTTAGCTTTTCCAATATACAACTAGCCGATCCAAAATAACAATGGGTTTCAGTACACTTCGATAAATTGCATAAGAGGTTCCATGTCTTCTTACAAGGAAATGTGCAATATATTCAATTAAGTCGTCAATTAGCATATACTCTTGGTTTTGATTCTGAGAAAGTTCATAGTGGACAAGTGGCAAAGTATATGCCTGATATCTCGGGAGGCGTGCGGCAATTTTTGGTTTACGCTCCAAGGCTCGTTGAAAATAGTATAATTGGAAACGTAACTGCTCCTCTATTACGTGTTGTGAATCTCACTGGTAAGCCTGGTGATAGTATTTCCGAAGTATATATGACCGAACATCAACATCGTATATTAGGTAAACGTCATCCAGACATTACTATTGAAATTCGTACCCTAGCAGGAAAACTAGTAAAATTCCATTGGGGAACCTGTATACTAACACTACATTTTCAACGCTCTCTATTTTAAAAATGACACATGTACCCGTAGATCTAGATAAAATAGACTGGGGTCCTTTTCTAGCAGCTCAAGATGGTGGGGCAAAAACCGATATAACAGATGAAAGTCGATATTTTCAGGGAACAAGGTATCAACGAGGTTTTGGAGTGCTCAGTACTGTCGGGCGTTTTCTAATGCCAATAGTTAAAAATTTAGCTTCTAGTGCAGGCCAAGAAGCAATCAACGTTGGTAAAAATGTGCTTGAAGATGTTTCACAAGGGCGATCAGTTAGTGATGCCTTGAAGCAGCATGGTAGCGAAGGTCTTCAAAAAGTTGGGAAAAAGCTCCAGCAATGCGGAAAAGGTAAAAGGAAACGCAAGCCAAAACTTATTACAGAAAGTCTAGAGAAAAAAGGACGGCGCCATAGAGATCAACTTAGTTTAGAAAATTTCTGAGTATATAAGTATAGCATAATTACAAATTCTTTCTAAGTAAAAATGACCACATTAAAGAAAATTGATAAAGATAGTTCCGAAGGGGTTGATAATCGCCTGACCTTCTTTTCTATACCCTCTACAAATGTCGGTATACAGCGTTCGGCATACAAAGAAATACTTCCTCTTAATGCTCTATGCTTTAATGTTATTTGACCTTTTTTGTAGTCATTTATATAGTTTTTATAAATTTCTATTCATTTTTGTTCTTCAACCTCAACAACGTCCAAACACTCCAAAGGATAGAAATATTGATGCTGTCGTCCGCCAATAACGCAAACAAGAGGCAGCTGTGGATAAACAAGGTCTATGTGATGTCGAACATAGAAATATTGCCTAATTGTCACACGTAAGTATCCTCGTAATGCAAAAAGACGATCCGCGCCCATCTTAGTCAATTTACTTGGATATACTTCGAACTGAATATGTCTTAAATGATTTGTTACTATAGCCTTCTTTCCCGGCTTCATAGTGTTGTCAGAAAATGTTTTTTGACCAATTCCATTCATGGCAACATCTTCATTTGTCATAGTAGTAAGTGATTGTAGGAATTGAATATTTTCGTTGTATTTTTTACGCATTTCCCTGTGAAGGGATTCTGGTGCACATCCTCCATTAAATTTACAAAGTAATTGAAGTAACGAACCAGTTTTGACGCGCAGATGAGGCGGAGGGGATTTGGATGAAAATTTAACAGGTTCTCTAAATTCTGACATATTAGCACTAGTACGCATGTTCATATCCCTGGTAAAATAAATCTCTATAAGCTTATTTCTCTTGGCTTATATACCAAGAGGCCCTTTCGCAAACCTCATTCCAGGGAGTTCTCCGTTTCCATTTCTTCTCAAATTTACATGTGCTTTAAACACTACAGCCAAAACAAAAATTAGTAACAAATCGAGGACATAAGCGATTAATAAAAAATATCTTTATTAGGATTTCCTGAAGGACCGATTGAAAGCGCATGAGCTTCATCAATAATAAAACAGGCATTCACATTTGGAGGGTATGGGCCATGAATCGGATAAAGTATATTACTATCATTTTGTTTAAAAGCCCAGGTGAGACCGATTAATGAAATTAGATATAGAGTAAAAATCATTTTTGCTTATATTATTACTAATATTAGTATTCTTATATACTAGGGAGCATGGCTAATCTTTGGACGAATCTCTTTATAACTGCATCACGACTTTCTGAAGGTATTGAGTGCAGTTTCCTAAGTGTGGAAGAAAAACTACTTTTTTGTTTTGAACGGTTTACAAGGAAACAGATGCAATAATGCCCACATGTATCAGATAATGGAGATTGAATAGAATAACGGCTTTGTTTAACTATTTTAAAGCGATTTAGCATAGATTGACGCATATCACAGTTAGGGGGGTCCCCGAGCGAGTCAAAGTATTCCAATGTGTTTTTTCTATCTGAATAACAAGCAATCCAGTGTTCCCCTACAGTTCCTTTCTTCATAGTATTTGCAATAAAGCAAAAAGGGCTATTCCATTCTATATTTGGAATAGTATTAGATGAAAAAACACCCAGAAATTTATTTTTAAGCGGAGTATAGCGGCTTAATATAGTTTCAATTTGCAGAGAATTCATCTTAAACAGATCCATCCGTACTTAACACGCGATCTGCATTTATGGACAGAACCGAATCGAACTCACCCATAATTATCATTTCATAACCTTCGTCTTTGATTGGCTGATTAAAAATACAACGGATAGTCGTAGTTCCTTGCCTGATTAACTCTAGTCCGTTCGTGTCCTCTAGTGTTGAAGTCATTGGTATAACAAAAAAACAGGAGGATTTAGAAAATTCTCTCATACTGATATCGAGAGTTCTCTGGTCCGTGTTTGGCCAATTATCGAGGTCCATACCCACAAACATATCAACATAAGCGCGAACAAAGTTATTATCAGCAAAATCAAAATCATACGAAACAGCAGGAAATTGGAATCCACCAAATTCTGCAGAGACAGAGCGCAAGTTTGCGTGCTCAAAAGTGAAAGGCGATAAAGCACTATTTCCCGTGAATGCAGGAGAGCTAACAAAACAGATTATTAAGCGTCTCGGACAAGTACTTGTGAACGCCGCATGAGTAATTTCTTGACGTCCTTTTCCCAGGAAAACACTACGGATATCAATTTTTCTAAAAGCATACTTTGCAGGTGTTTGTTCTAGATGTCTAGCAATAGCATTATTTAAAGACATACTCAGATCAACTTGTTTTATTAAAATTCTCATGTCGTGAAGCCTAAGTCGGTAAGTATGCGTGTTTTCTACTAATGCTGCAGTGCTGCGGAATTTTGGAGTATGAATAAGAAATTCATCAGAATTTCTGTAAATGGTCCAGATCACGTCACTTTGTGGAATTAAGAGCTGGTTCTGTCTAGCCATGTCATAATCTAAATGGGAAAACATTCTACATAATTTACCTTTGGCAAAACGAGAAACTCGAGATTTAAAGCCAGAGCCCTCGGAATCATCCTTATCCACTGCGTCTTTATAATAGAGCGCCGCTTCATATAGGCCCTTACTTACTTCTTTATTGGCGCCAAGTTCATGCAGAATTATACATCGGTATGCATAGTGGATGCCAGAATCATAGCACTGAACCCCATTAATTGAAAGTGTAAGGCGACGAATCCATGTAAGCCCTAAATATTGAGCAACCCCTGTAAATTTATCTCCTTTCAACTCGGCAGCTTCACCGTCTGTGATAGGAACCCACTCACCACTAGTTGTATCTTTTCTTTCTAAGGATAAAACCAAACTTAGAAAAGTTTTGCTCAAATCAAGATAGAGCGAATCACCAAAATATCGAAAAACAAACGGTCCTGCAGATTGGTTGAGAGCATTAAGAGGAAGTATTTCTTTGTATGCCGAACGCTGTATACCGACATTTGTAGAGGGTATAGAAAAGAAGGTCAGGCGATTATCAACCCCTTCGGAACTATCTTTATCAATTTTCTTTAATGTGGTCATTTTTACTTAGAAAGAATTTGTAATTATGCTATACTTATATACTCAGAAATTTTCTAAACTAAGTTGATCTCTATGGCGCCGTCCTTTTTTCTCTAGACTTTCTGTAATAAGTTTTGGCTTGCGTTTCCTTTTACCTTTTCCGCATTGCTGGAGCTTTTTCCCAACTTTTTGAAGACCTTCGCTACCATGCTGCTTCAAGGCATCACTAACTGATCGCCCTTGTGAAACATCTTCAAGCACATTTTTACCAACGTTGATTGCTTCTTGGCCTGCACTAGAAGCTAAATTTTTAACTATTGGCATTAGAAAACGCCCGACAGTACTGAGCACTCCAAAACCTCGTTGATACCTTGTTCCCTGAAAATATCGACTTTCATCTGTTATATCGGTTTTTGCCCCACCATCTTGAGCTGCTAGAAAAGGACCCCAGTCTATTTTATCTAGATCTACGGGTACATGTGTCATTTTTAAAATAGAGAGCGTTGAAAATGTAGTGTTAGTATACAGGTTCCCCAATGGAATTTTACTAGTTTTCCTGCTAGGGTACGAATTTCAATAGTAATGTCTGGATGACGTTTACCTAATATACGATGTTGATGTTCGGTCATATATACTTCGGAAATACTATCACCAGGCTTACCAGTGAGATTCACAACACGTAATAGAGGAGCAGTTACGTTTCCAATTATACTATTTTCAACGAGCCTTGGAGCGTAAACCAAAAATTGCCGCACGCCTCCCGAGATATCAGGCATATACTTTGCCACTTGTCCACTATGAACTTTCTCAGAATCAAAACCAAGAGTATATGCTAATTGACGACTTAATTGAATATATTGCACATTTCCTTGTAAGAAGACATGGAACCTCTTATGCAATTTATCGAAGTGTACTGAAACCCATTGTTATTTTGGATCGGCTAGTTGTATATTGGAAAAGCTAAGAAGCATTTTTAGATATTCAGGAGGATAGCCATATTTAGCAAAATGCATTTTCTTTACATTAGGATCCGAATCATCAACTCTTATTGTTAACTTTTCTTTGTGAGGTTCTGCTTTTTCCTTTTGGCCTGGAAGCTCTTTAGGTTTTGTTTTGTCTTCGCTTGACACACCGCCAAGTCCAAAGAAGCTTTTCCATGAGGAGGGATGGTGAAAAGGCTCTCCAATTAACATTTCAGGACGGGGAAGAGAAGGCCGCTCCTCTGTATGAATTATTTCATCTACTTTAGGCTGCACAATATTTTCAAGTAAATTTGCGGTTGAGGGCGGAATACTTACAGGGTCTTCTTCTGCTAATGGAGGTGCCCATTGCTCATCCTTATCGTAAATTGTTTGAGATTCCTGCAGAGTCTCTTCGCTTGTATCAATTTCTTCTGTTTCTTCTTCGATAATCGTTGGTTCATCGTTCGCCTCAATATTTTCTTCAATATTTTTTTCTTCTGGTAATGGGGGTGTCCATTGCTCTTCGTCCTCATCGCTTATTGGTTGCGATTCCTGCGGAGGCTCTTCTCTTGTATCATCTTCTTCAGTATCTTCTACTGTTTCTTCATGTAACTCATTACTTTCTTCTGGTAACGGAGCTTCCCATTGCTCTTCATCATCATCGGTTATTGTTTGTAATTCATGTTGTGTATCTTCTTGCTTATCTTCTTCCGCAGTACCTTCTTCGATAATCGTTGGTTCTTCGTTCGCCTCAATATTTTCTTCGATATTTTCTTCTTCTGGTAATGGAGGTGTCCACTTTTTCTCGTCCTCATCGTCGTCAGAGGGTATTTCACTATCATCATGTATCTCAATATTTTCCTCGATATTTTTTTCTGGTAATTTTTCATTTTCATCTTCAATATTTGAAGATACAGGAAATAACGAAGCATCTTCTTTTGCAAGTTCTACGTCAACTTTACCAATAATTTCTTCTGATAAACGTTTTTGCCCTGCAACAGCTTCTTCAACCTGACTAGCTGCTTCCTTTACCTTACGTTCTGCAGCCTTAGCACGATCTGCAGCTTTTCTTGCTTCTGAAACATCACCGCGGGTTTCTGCAGCTTTAGTCTCTAGTTGTGCTTCCGAAGCTCTTTTTCCATACTCTAAACATTCCTGTGTCCATTTATCAATTGAAATTTTACGATTAGTTAACAATATTAATTGAGATTTAACCCATTCAATAATATTTTCAGGTGTTTTTCTTAAGTGTACAGTTTCGCCCGTTTCTTTTAATGTAACCACACTATCTTTAAGCGCATACTTAAAGCGCGCATTCTGCCAATATTTTTCACCAAGTTCCATATTTATTTGTGCTTGCTCTGCCAACTCGACACTATTTCTCCATGCTCTTGTAGCGGCACGAACGGCCATTTCCATTAAAACTTTTTGATCATCAGTTAATAATGGCTTTTCATCAGGCTCCTCTACATACGAAAGTGGAGTTATTTTCCCATCTAAAGGAGTTTTGTCATTAGATTCAAGGTGTTTTTCTTCAGGT